AGACTTTTTTAAATTGATGGACAATGCCGTCTTTGGTAAACCATGGAAAACTTTCGCAACAGGATCGACATTAAACTCGCTCACACGGCCAAAAAACTTAAAAAATACCGCGCAAAACCCTCTTTTCAAAGATTTATCATATTTAACGAGGACTTGACGGGTGTAGAAAACGCCAAAATAAAATTAGTGTTAAACAAACCCGTTTACGTAGGTCAAGCCATCTTAGATTTATCAAAATGTATCATGTACGAGTTCTACTATAAATATCTGAAACCGAAATATGTAGACGGGATAAAGTTATTATTTACTGACACCGACGGTTTTTGTTATCACGTACAATGCAGCGACATCTATGTCGACATGTTAGAAGATAGACACTTGAGCACTTCTGTTACGATTCGACCAATAAAAAGATAACCGGTTATTTTAAAAACGAAACCGGAGGCAAGCCTATCGTAGAGTTTGTAGGACTTCGTGCTAAAATGTATAGCTTTCGATATGCCGACCCAGAAAGTTTTATGTATCAAAACATGAGAATCACTACCAATTCTTTCAAAGAGAAGCAGGTAGCTAAAGGCATTGGCAAAGCTACCATAAAGCGCGACTTACGTCACGAGATGTACAAAGAATGTCTCTTTAGCAAACAAAACAAAATGTGTGAAATGCACTCCATTAGTAGCGATAGGCATCAGTTATACGTGTAGAACATTAACAAAACCGGGTTATGTGCTTTTGACGATAAGCCGTGGATCTTATCAAATCTCTGCGACAGTTATGCCTTCGGTCATTACAAGACAAAGACGGTATTGTATAACTCGCACCTGTTTTATAAACGTTGTATATAGTTCATGTACATAACGTCTGGAATTGTTTTGATTGTAAATACGAATGTTTCATTTTTGAATGTGTTCATTTAATCGTTATACAATATAATGAAGAAGTTGTACATTTATTTTTCATATAGTTCATGCACGTTAATACTACTGTAAATATGAAAGTTTCATTATGATTTGTTCAATCGTTGTATGATGCAATCAAATTTGTAATTCATTACATGCTAATGAAAGTTTACTTGGAAATAATTTTAAGATAAAAGAAACATGTTAGAAAGTTTGTTAACATCAGTGATTAAATGGATTATACATGTATATATATATAGCAAAAAAACAATACCTACATATATTTATGAATTGTACATCAATTTTATAGTTAATTGCATTTGATCTTACATTTAAAACAGCAATTATTAAATTGACTGTAAAATTCAATTTTAAATTGCAATTAATCATTTCATTTAATTCTAATTGAATGAAAACTTTATTGTAATGAATAGTTAAGATTTTTACATTCATGATGTACAATCAAGTAGGTAATATAAATATTGATGTCGCAAAAATTCAACAATAATTGTGTATAGAATGTTATAGACTGTATAATCGTATATATAAATACTGAACAAAAAAAAACCGCACAAAGTTCCCCCCTGCAGTACACCTTAGCTGTAAGGAAATAATGGAATATTTGGTCAGGTATTACATCAAGAACGATCTCCCTTCTCAACAATCTACCCTAAAATCAGCCAACCATGACGATGTCATTGTTTGACTTTGTGAGCTTCTTTAGTCCAAATCAAATAATCTCAACGGATACTCAAAGTTCAGCCACATTAATTTTCCACGTTGGCATTTTGATTTCGCCATTGACTGAGATCCCACGCTTAACGCAAATTCAGAGGGGTAGAGCAATTGCGATGTTGATGGATGGTCATAGCCAAACTGCTGTCGCACGGCAGTTTGGTGTTGGCCCGTGTACAATTAACCGTCTCTGTACACGTTTCCGTGCTACTGGATTAGTTTCCGATCGTCCCAGGAGCGGTCGTCCGCGTGTAACGACCGCACGACAAGACAGGGCGATTCGATTGTCGCACTTGCGCAACAGATTCAAGACTGCTGTAGAGACTGCGTCGTATACCTGAGGTACTCATGGCAGACCCATTAGCCCTCAAACTGCCAGGAACCGCTTGCGTGCCGAGAGAATCATTGCGCGCCGATCTTATGTCGGGCCACCTCTGACACCACAGAGGCGTTAAGTGCGTCTTGACTGGATGCGCAGACATGGCCCGAATAGGTTTTGGATGCGTCGATGGAGGCGTGTGATGTTCACCGACGAGTCTAGATTCTGTCTGTATCGCTAAGACGGAAGAAAAAGGGTATATCGCAGACGCGATGAGCGTTTCGCCGACGCATGCGTGGTTGAACGCGATAGATTCGGTGGGGCTTCTGTAATGGTTTGGGGAGACATCTCCCATGGATTAAAATCCCCCTTAGTGGTCCTGGATCAAAACCGCAATGCCGTTCGATACAGATACCAGATCCTCCAACCACATGTCCTTCCACTTCTCAGACGTCATAACCTAATTTTCCAGCAAGACAATGCTCGACCGCATGTTGCCAGAGTCTGTCGTGATTTGCTCACGGCAAACAACGTTCAGCATCTTGAATGGCCCCCATATAGTCCCGACATGTCTCCCATTGAGCATCTGTGGGATGAGCTGGACAGGCGTATTAGGAAACGTCAA